AAAAAAAAAAAAAAAGCCCAGCTATTTTTAGAGACAAGGTCTTGCTCTGGCTCAGGCTGGTCTGGTACTTGTGAGCTCAGGCATCCACTCACCTCGGCTTCCCACAGTGGGATTACAGGCATTACCCACTGCATCAGGCCTAAAAAAGGCCATTCTTTTCTTTTTTTTTTTTTTTGTAGAGACAGAGTCTCACTTTACTGCCCTTGATGAAGTGCCGTGGCGTCACAGCTCACAGCAATCTCTAGCTCCTGTGCTTAGGCAATTCCTCTGCTTCAGCCTTTCAAATAGCTGGGACTGCAGGCGCCTGCCATAACGCCCAGCTATTCTTTGTTGCAGTTTGGCTGGGGCTGGGTTCGAACGCACCACCCTCTGTGTATGTGGCTGGTGCCCCACCCACTGAGCCAGAGGCACTGCCCAGAAAAGCTATTCTTAAGCTAAGTATTTTTTTTTTTTTTTTGAGACAGAGCCTCAAGCTGTCCCCCCTGGGTAGAGTACTGTGGCATCACAACTCATAGCAACCTCTAACTCCTGGGTCCAAGCGAGTCTCCTGCCTCAGCCTCCCAAGTAGCTAGGACCACAGGCACCCACCACAACGCCCAGCTATTTTTTGGTTGCAGCCATCATTGTTCTTTGGCAGACTCAGGCTAGATTCAAACCCGTCACCTTAGGTATACATGGCTGGCGCCTTAGTCACTTAAGCCACAGGCACCGAGTCTAAGTATTCTGATACACTTTCTTTCCTCTTCATTATCTATTTCTTTTTATCTTAGTTTCAGTGCTTTTACTGTTACTAACCTCAATTTCAATTTAGAAGTGGACAAGGTATTTATAAGAAAATAGTATACTAACACTAAAAAGAATGTACTCATATGAGAATTGAGAAATATCAAATCACTTTTCAATCCGTAGACGGACAAATATAACAAAAACATAACAGTAAAAAAAGACAGAGTGAGATTTAAACCAAAGTAAAAATAATAAAATAATAAAATAATAATAACATCTGTAATACTGGTCTCCTTTCAACTAGCGAAATGATGGGTTTACTATACCTTAATTTCTATCCTTGCTCTGTGAGGAAAAAGCTGTCCAATCATGGAAAAGTCCGTTCCCACCATGCTGATGGCTAAAAAAAACATATCTGTTTCTGTAAAAATAAAAGATTTAGAATAAAAAAAAATTAATCCTCTCAACATTTCAAAGAAATCTTATACGAGCATATATTCTGAGTTAAAAGTAAATTCAATAATACTTAATTTTATTGGAAATATTCTCATAGAATATCTAAAAACACCTTGTTTAAACATTCTTTTAAAAAATGTAGTATAAGAAATTGGCATGCTAATAATACCAAAGCAGCTCAAATTTTTTTTTTTTTTTGAGACAAAGTCTTAAGATGTCACCCTGGGTAGAATGCCATGGCATCATAGCTCACAGTAACCTCCAACTCGGGCTCAAGCGATCCTCTATGTTTAGTAGAGATAGGGTCTCTTGCTCAGACTGGTCTCAAACCTATGAGCTCAGGCAATACACCTGCCTCAGCCTCCCAGAGTACTAGGGTTATAGGCATGAGCCACTGTACTCAGCCTACAGCTTTTTTTTTTTTTTTTTTTTGAGAAAGTCTCATCATGTCACCCTTGGTAGAGTGCCGTGGCGTCACAGTTCACACAACCTTAAACTCTTGGGTTGAAGTGATTCTCTTGCTTCAGCCTCCCAAGCAGCTGGGACTAAAGGTACCTACCACAACACCCAGGTGCCTATTTATTTTTGAGACAAGAATTTCACTCTGTTTTCTAACCTAGGATGTCAAAGCATTAGCCTAGCTCACAGCAACCTCAAACTCCTGCATTCAAGGAACTCTTCTGCCTCAGCCTGACCAACCCAAGTAACTAGGAATACAGGTCACAATGAATGCCTAGCTAATTTTTCTTTTTTTTTTTTTTTTTTTGAGTCTTATTATGTCGCCCTCGGTAGAGTGAGATGGCATCACAGCTCAGAGAAACTAAAACTCTTGGGCTCAAGTGATTCTCTTGCCTCAGCCTCCCAAGTAGCTAAGACTACAGGCGCACACCACAACACCTGGCTATATTTTAGAGACGAGGTCTCGCACTTGCTCAGGCTGGTCTCGAACCCGTGAGCTCTGGGCAATCCACCCACCTCGGCCTCCCAGAGTACTAGGATTATAGGTGTGAGCCACCATGACCATCTAATTTTTCTATTTCTAGTAGAGATAGGGTCTTACTCTTGCTCAGAGAAGGACAGTGTACATTTTTAAACAGGCAATTATTAACCTATAGAAGCTTTTATTATATAATCCTATCTGAGTCAGAACATTATTAATACTGCAGTATTAATTATCACTTCAATGTTTTTTCTACAGGAACTTTACAAAGAGAAAATTTCCAAAGAAAATGATCATAAAGGCAGCCCCCATAGCTCAGTGGGTAGGACACTACCCACATACACTGAGGCTGGTGGGTTAGCACCCAACCCAGGCCAGCTAAAGCAACAATGACAACTGCAACAAAAAAAGTAGCCAGGCATTGTGGCAGGTACCTGTAGTCCCACCTACTTAGGAGACTGAAGTAAGAGAATCGCTCAGGCCCTGGAGTTTGAGGTTGCTGTGAGCTGTGACACCATGGCACTCTACCCATGGTGAGAGCTTGAGACTCTGTCTCAAAAAAAAAAAAAAAAAAAAAATTAAGACAGACCAAAATCTAGGCCCCTTGTGCCAAACAGTTAGCCAAGTTATAAATGCAAAGG